AGCACATAATTTTTTTTTTACAGAAGTAGCAACATATGAAAGCTCTATTCAATTTTTCAAGAGCAATACTCAAAGATATAGCAAACTTGACAGATACAAAGCTATGAGAGCCACCAAAATCAAATTGAACATTGAAATTGACATCATTAATGAGAATTGTACCTATCACCACATTGTCACTTGCATTAGCATCTTGGCAAGTTAAAGTGAAAACTCAAGCAATTTTTTTTTTGTGGTTATTCCCCTAATTTAGCTTTAAAAGCATCATTATTCTTGTTTGGGCAATCTCGAACAATATGCCCATATTTTTCACATTCAAAACAAACTCCTGCTTTCTTAAGACATGGTTTGAAATGAAACCGCTAGTAAAAATCACATTTCTCGAGCTTAATGTTAGATTTCATCCCCCATTTTTTACCTATGTTTCCTCTTATGTTCTTTTGGCGATTACTCTAATCTCCATCAAACCTCGGGCGTTTCTTATCACCCCTCTCTTGCTCATATCTTTTCATGTTTGACTTAACCTTTAATGCTTGTTGTAACACATCTTTGTAACTATCAATTATGTGAGAAGACAAATAAGACTGAATACTTGACTTCAACCCATGCTCGAATTATATCACCTTATTTTTATCTGAGTCACTGATACGAGTGCAAAAACGTCCCAACTCGTTAAACTTGTTGGCATACTTCAGCACAGATATATCATGTTTTTGCTATAACTGTAAAAACTCATTCTTCTTCTCTACTTTCAGTAACTCTGAAAAATATTGATCAAAGAAAATTTTTTTAAACTTTTTCCAAGTCAGAGGCTTGCATGAATCTTCAAATGTGGGATTTATATTATCTCACCAATACTCAGCATTTCCCCTTAGTTGAATGACAGCCAAACCCAACTTCAAATCGTCAGAGATTTGCATCACCTTAAATAGTTTTTTTAACTCTTTAACCTAAGCTTCTACAACCAAAGGATTAGGGCTACCTTCAAACTGAGGTGGGTTAACCCTCCGAAATCGTTTATAAGTTGTCTCTCATTGTTGCAAATTTTTTTGCATATGTTGCTATTGTTATATCAAATTAGATACCACCTGACATACCCCAACTAAATTATTTTGCATCACAAAAGCAATATGAGCATTTCCAATATTAATTTGCTCATCTTGAACATTGGTATTTTCATATTCATCATTTTTTCCTATCAGTTCTTTTCCTTCGACCAGCAAGGTCTACCAATGTCTCATTTCAACCACTCATTATCACCTAAATTAGTACTAGCAAAAATAGTTCATAAACGATCAAAACGAAATAATTTAATCTTATTAGCGTAAATGCTAAGAATACTTAAGTTCTACACTAACTATAACTCAACACCTTACAAATTTAGGTTTAAATCTTTACATATATCTTTAGGTTTATATTGCTACATATCTATCATTCTTTGTCTACACATTTTTTTTAATGTGAGATTTTAGATGTTACAATCTCTCCATCTTTAAAACTTGACATCTCTGTCAAGTCGAATCCAACCACAGGATCAAGATTACACCAAATGTTGAGATTTAAAAGGTGATTACTCATCATGTAGCATTTAGTGACTATTACGGTCCTACCGTGTAGTACTTAGTGACTCTTACGATGTAGCACTTAGTTCTCATCGATTAGTGACCACTCTTATATTATTTGTAGAGATTTACACATAACCTACGAGGTATTATCTATTTTCACCCGAAAATCTCATGATTTTATCTCATAAAAAGTACATTACAAGTTTAGATTTAGATCTTTACATATATGTTTGGATTTAATTCTCTACATATATATTTTTTATCTATATATTTTTTAAAGTGAAATTAGAAGCGTTACAGTAACGATGGACGGCATTCCATGACAATGACCATATTTAGTATTTTTCACAAATTGAGGCTGCTGATATCTATTGTCTCAAAGAAAAATGAATTAATGGTAAAAAAAAAAAAAGGAAGCGTGATAAAGGGAACAAGACTTTCTTGTGTCTAAATGTATGCAGCTTATAAATTATTCTCAAAATAACTACTTTCAACAAGCATCGAGTGAGAATATTATGAGCATCTGTTGATATTTCTTCCCACGATATAGCATCCTAGCGATTATAGCAAAGCAAGAATGAAAAAAAAATAATACTAGTAAGGCAGGAGGTGGACTGACACTTAGACAAGCCCAATTAATTAAAGATAAAAGCAACAGGAATTGTGGTCTGGCACAACCCCAATTCCACTTTTAAGATGCAATGGCATGGCTCCACCTTTCATCCGCAACATAACTGATCAACTGCAGGTCGTTGCTAAGAAATAATCAGGTTGGCTAGTAGAGAAGTTATTGTTGATGTTAGTTTAAAAGATGACCTATTTTATATTAAATAAAAAAATTATATATATTATTTAAATAATTGAATTCAGTGTTGAAATAAATAAAATCATTTGAGTTTGTTAAAAAATTTTTTAATGAGTCAAATAATTTTTAAAGTTAAAGATTGAACATTTGGACTTATTTAATAAATAAATTTATTTTTTATTTAAAATTTTTTTTTAAAATTTGAAAATTAGTAAAATATTATTTTATTTAAAGGTAAAAAATTAGACATTTGGGCTAATTTGATCAAAAGATTTATTTTTATTTAAATTTTTTACTTTTTTAAATTAAAAAATAAATAAAATATTATTTTATTTTGAATAAATACACTTAATTAAAAAAACATGATTGTCTGAATATGTTTGAGCAAAAAAAATATAATTATCCAAATAAATTTATTTAAACAAAAATATGATTACACAAATTATCATAATTTTTTAAATAAAAATTTTGTGACCATTGATTTATTATAAATAAATATTTTTACTTCATCAATTTCATTAATTCTGATTTGACAAATCTATTACAAGAGCTACAAACTATTCATTCACTCATGAAATTTCAGCAAGGTAAGTAAAGGGAAAGAGTTGGATTAAATCAGGAAAATAAATCGTATGAAGCACACAAACCACTCATGAAATGCAAGATTTTTAGTGCACCACAAGGGTCACGTGTGTATGTTTTCTCCGACATTATGATAGCAGCATCAGCAATTGCATTACTCGGGCATGCATCATCAACTCAAGGTTTTGACGAATTTGCTCGACAGCTCTGAGTGCACTGCCACTGCCACCAAGACTCTCGAACAAGTGAAAAAGAGAGGAAGAAGTAATGTTATTCAACTGGCAGAGCAATGTCAAAACTCTGATTCAAATGATCAACCAAAAATCTAGCATCCCACTTCAAAATTCATTGAATACGCTTATGCTAAACAGGTTTAGAAACCAAGTTTTTCTGACACATAATAGATTGATAGAAATGTTCATTTTCTAACTAATATGACCGAGGGCCCGTTCGCCAGCCTTCGGCATAGTGTGGTTGGTCTCATTTTGGTCCAATCCCAACCAAGCCAGAAGCCTCCATTGGGTTACTCAGGCCCTCATGGCTTAGTTAGACCAGGCCCTACTGCTCTAGACCTCTAGTGGCTGCCCCAAAAGTGCCATTACTGGAAAAGTCCAATGAGCCCAACACGCTGGATTTGCATTCACTGTACTTTTCCATTTATGCCATTGCTTTTTATTTCTATTTTTCATTTTCACCCTTCAAATTTCAATCTTCCCATTTTGTCTACGCTTTAGTTATTTTTCCTTAATTTTTTATACTTGACAAATAAATATAATTATAATAAAAATTTTGGCATATAAGTTCCTTATTATTTTATCATTTCAAAAAAAATTATTTTTGCTAACTAATATATCAAAAATATAATCTCTATATCAAATTAATAATTTTATATTATCATTATTTTTAATTTCATTATAAATAATTTTACTTTGCGTCTGAGTGAATTGAACCCATAGCTTCACCCGTCACATTTCCCTTATGCCTTTTTGTATACCATTTATCCTCTATGAATGATGATGCACCATATTGGATTTAAATTTACAGAGTGCATTCTAAATAATATGGCTTGTGATAAAATTGGCAGGTAGAATCTTTAAAATTTTAAACTTTGTATTTATGAATTTTTTTCATATCAAAATAGCAAAAAATAAAGACTAAAATGTATGCTCAAATAATATTAGAAACTAGAGGTCACAATTGGATAATACAAATAATTTTGATCCAAGTTGAAAAAATTTAAATAATTTTGGATCGAATCATTTTTAATTTGGATTAATTTAAATTTAAATCATTCAATTTTTATTTAGATTATTTTTTATTAGAGTCATTTGAATTTAACAATTACATTAATTGAATTTAAATCATTTCATATTCAAGTAGTTAGCTTTAAATTTAAATCTAATTTAGAAAAAAATCATTTAAACAAATCAAATTTTATCAATCAAAATTATGTATTTGAAATCATGTTTTCATCAACTTGCGTTATACCTCCAATTTCAATTTTTGATGTCATAAAAATAAAATTTTCAAACAGTCATTTCATCTTACATAAAAGACAAAAATATATATATATATATATGAATTTAAAAGTCATTTACTAATTTAGAATTATTTTGTGTAAAAAATTAACAATTTAGTTTCGAAAAATTGATATTCAATTTTCATTTTCATTGCATTAATTATTGTTAGTAATTCAATTTCTGAAAATTTCAAACCTAAATCCATATGTTCTTTTTTTCATGTTAAAAGGACACTAATAAATTTGCTCAATGAGTTAGCAAAGTTAGAACGTCAGGTTAGGGTCCAAAAGTCTGATAGTAATGATTCACAGACTCTCTTTCTAATTCTTTATCATTAATGAATTTGTTATTATTAGTCAATCATAAGTTTGAAAGTTAGAAATTATGTTATTGCTATAGTAAATGATCTTTGTAAAATAGGCAATAGAAGGTGCTATTAAGTTGACAAGGATGATGAAGAAAGCGGTTCTCAGCCAAACATTGTTTTCTAACATACAGCACCATCGTTGACAGTGTTTGTAAGGACAACGTCCCTGTAACAGAGGCGTAATATGAACCGCTTTTCGGAAATGACATGTAAAGGCAAGATGGATGAAGCTAGAAAATTAAGTTCATTTTTTTTTTATTGCTAGGGGCTGTGCAGCTACGCCATCACGGTCAATGGATATTGTAAATGCCCAAAAGGATAGATAAGGCAGTGGAACTCTTTTCATGAAATGTCTCAAAAGCAATCAAATAAATACAATTTTAGCAACTCTTTTCTGGCCTTTCGCACTTGGGTTGAAAATCCACTCAAGGCTGCAATCTCTATTCTCTACTAGCTATAATAGGATAGATTGAAAAAGCATGCTAGTCCCTCTATAAAACATTGAACCTAATGAAATTTCCCTCACCAAAAATCTATTTCCACCTTCACTTAGAACAACTTGTCACTCTCAACCGCTTCAGCAGAAATCGTAGCCCCTTCTGGACGCCTTGGTTGCCTCACAAAGGGAAATTTCTTCTGCACTTGCCTGGGAGGCATAGCCATCAATATATTCACCATGGCATTCGTTAGATTATTATTTTTAATTCTTCTACTCCGAGATTTGGTTTCTGTATCTGGCAATAGCGATCCAGCCTATCATCGTCATCTTCACCATTCTTTCCTTAAAGACAAGGCTGCTCTTCTAGCATTTAAGGAGTCCATAATAGTTGATCCAAATTCCAAACTTACAAACTGGGAAGAGGTTGTTCCTGTTTGCAACTTCACTGGTGTCACATGCAACAAGCGACAGCGCCGTGTGATACAAATCGACCTGTCTAGCTCTGGACTTGTGGGGAAGATTTCACCCTTCCTTTCAAACCTCACTGGCCTTCTACTCCTAAACCTTGATGACAACCACTTCTTCGGCACCATTCCGCCTGAACTTTCCTCCCTCCGACTTCTCCAAACTCTCATCCTAAATACAAATAGCTTAAATGGTCCAATACCAGACAGTTTCGCCCTCCTCACCAACCTCACTTTATTTGAAGTTATGGAAAACAATTTAACAGGTCCCCTGCCGCCTTCTTTTTTCTCAAACTGCACACAGTTACAAGTTATAGATCTCTCTTTCAACCACATCGGAGGTCAAATTCCAGCAGAAATCGGAAATTGTCCAAGTTTATGGACTATCAATTTATACAACAATCAATTTACAGGGCAACTTCCTGCCTCCTTAACCAATATTACACTGTATGTTCTAGATGTGGAGTACAATCTTCTATCTGGTGAACTTCCTACAGACATAGTACAGAAGCTGCCTACGCTCATCTTTCTTCATTTATCCTATAACAACATGACAAGTCATGATAATAACACCAATCTCTATCCATTCTTCGCCACATTGGGAAATTGTACTAATTTAATGGAGCTTGAATTGGCTGGAATGGGCCTTGGAGGAACATTACCCAGCACCATCGGCCATCCTAGACTAAAGCGTCTAGAATTGCAAGAAAATCACATCTTTGGGTCGATTCCCCCAGAAATAGGAAATCTTTCAAATATTACAATGCTGAACTTGGCATCCAATTTTCTAAATGGAACAATCCCGGGAGAAGTCAGTCTGTTGTTACATTTGGAGCAGTTTTTTTTGTCCCACAACTTTTTCAGCATCAGAATTCCTGTAGCATTAGGGAAACTCCCTTCTCTTGGTCAGCTAGATCTATCAAACAACAAATTCTCCGGAGAAATTCCATCCAGCCTGGGAGATTTAGTTGCAATTCGATATTTGTTTCTCAATAAAAACCTCCTTTCAGGGACAATACCACCAAAACTACTCAAATGTACAAATCTTGACGTGCTTGATCTGTCCCACAATAGATTAACAGGGAGGATCCCTTCAGAGATAGCAGACCTACGTGAAATCACACGATTTATAAAATTTTCACACAATCTTCTCCAAGGTCCTTTGCCAATTGCGCTCAGCAAGCTCGAAAATGTTCAAGAAATGGATCTTTCGTCAAACAACTTCAGTGGGAATATCTTCCCCCAAATATCAAGTTGCATCTCAGTGATGATGATAAATTTCTCACACAATTCCCTTGAAGGGCAGCTTCCAGATTCTCTAGGTGATCTGTGGAACCTCCAATCATTTGATGTTTCAAGCAACAATATAGCTGGAAAGATACCAACGAGCCTGAGCAAAATTAACCTCACATTTCTGAATCTTTCCTTTAACAACTTTGAAGGAATGATTCCCTCTGGTGGCATATTCCATTCAGCCACAAAAATGTCATTCTTAGGCAATCCGCGTCTATGTGGAGCAGCTTCTAGTAGGCCGATATGGCCTCAAAAGAAACACTGGTTTCGATCACATATGTTCTTGATTATTCTTATCATAGTTATAGTTGTTCCAGTGCTCTTATCAGCACTAGGCTGTGTGATTGGAATCCACCGCATTAAACTAAAGGTTTCTTCCAGGAAAACTGAAAGATCAAGAAAACCTCCAACACAAGAAATAATGCACAATTTCCCCAGAATCACTTGCAAAGAACTGTCAGAAGCCGCTGGAGGATTTGATACCCAGAATCTAATTGGGACAGGGAGCTATGGACGTGTTTACAGAGGAGTTCTTAAAGATGGGACAAGCATTGCTGTGAAGGTGTTACATTTGCAGTCTGAAAATTCAGCCAAAAGTTTCAACAGAGAATGCCAAGTTTTGAAGATTATTAGGCACCGAAACCTTATCCGAATTATAACAGTGTGTAGTTTACCCGATTTTAAGGCTTTGGTTTTTCCTTATATGGCAAAGGGAAGCTTGGATAGCCGTCTCTATCCCCAATCTGAGTCAGGTTTGAGTTCAAGCTCTTCAGATTTGAGTCTAATTCAGAGAGTTAGCATTTGCAGTGACATTGCTGAAGGGATGGCCTATCTGCATCACCATTCCCCGGTTAGAGTCATACACCGTGATCTAAAGCCTAGCAATGTTCTTCTAAATGATGATATGACAGCCTTGGTTTCGGACTATGGGATTGCGAGGCTGGTTACGACAGTAGGAGCTGACAATGGAGGTGGGGCTATTGAAAGCATGGGAAATTCTACTGCAAATATGTTAGCCGGGTCCATTGGTTATATTGCACCAGGTAATCCTCCTTTTTGTCTATAGTGCATCATCATTTGTATCCTCTGACATGAACAAATTTAAGTCATTTCCAGTAATGTAAACAAATTGTATCTTTACCCCAAATTTTCAAATCATTTCATCATAAAACTACAACAAAAACATCAAAATGGCACACTCATAAGTTGCGTATGCCTTGATAAGCCTTGGTTCATGCCAAATTATCACTTTTACACATGATTCACTTATCAGTGTCAGAGTTATTGTTGCCATTGGACTTTCATTCTGTTTTTTTTTTTTTTGGCAGAAAAACGTTTCAGTATTTTTAGGGAGATTTGCTTCTTTTTTCTTTAATGATGCCTTAAATTCAAAACAACACATATTAAATCAATCAACTTTATGCTGCAGAGTATGGATTTGGATCTAATATATCTATCAAGGGAGATGTATACAGCTTTGGAATTGTAGTTCTTGAGATGGTGACTAGAAAACGACCAACTGATGACATGTTTGTTGGTGGTTTAAGTCTGCACAGATGGGTGAAGAGTAACTGCCATGGAAGGGTAGAAAAAGTGGTTGACTCATCTCTGATCAGAGCTTCAAAGGATCAATCCCCAAAAGTGAAAAGAATGTGGGAAGTTGCAATTAGAGAATTGATTGAATTAGGTATTCTGTGCACTCAGGAATCTCCCTCTACTAGGCCTACCATGCTTGATGTTGCTGATGACCTGGCTCGCCTTAAAAGATACCTTAGTGGGGATACTACTACGACATTCGCCTCATCTCTGGGAATATCTTCTTCCACTCTAGGTGATGACTAACAGCTTCTCAAATTGTACTAGACTGAATTTTACTATTGCCCTTTTGGAAAGTTTGACTTGGAATCAATCAGAAAAGAGAGCAAAGATGCTTTGAGAACTATATCTGATAACTATAACACTAACTATAGGTTTTTTTTACATTTCTATGCTGCATATTTGTACATTATTGTCCCTGTTAATAGTAATAGTAAGTTGGAAATTGAGGTTCAAACAGCTGTGAAAAATTTTTTGGTAAATGTCAAATAAAAAAAGACATCAGAAGCTATATTTAATCCGAGGTACAATCTATATTCATACCCAGCTGAAATGCCTTAGGACAGCTTCTTTACTTTCCTACAGGTAAAATCTATATGGTAGAGCAGAATTCAAAAAAATAAGAAGGGAAAAAGGAAAAAAAAAAAAAAAAGAATCTTGTGACTTGCTTAGCATTTGAGTCAAGTAATCATACATCCCAAGCTATGGAAAACGAGAAACTCCCCTATCCATATTCTCAAGCTGTTGCCTCCTTTGTTCAGAAGAAAAGGAGAAACTCCGGAACTGTTTTGAAAGACTAGCGAATAAAGTCTAAACCATCCAGGCAGAGCCTCTTTTACTTGTCATGTATAGAAGGCATGAGGAAGCTACTTAGCTACATTCAATCAGACGTCAACTGATACCAGAAAGATATATTAACGTTTGGTTTCACATATTAACCACATTTACAATCCATATCAGTGAGAAAAAATTCAAAAATAGCCACAGAAATTGAATGAAACACAAGATGATTGATCCATTTCCCTCTCTCCTGTGATATTCCTTTTCTTAATATTAATAAAAGAAAGGAAAAGAAAAGAAAGTAAAGTAAAGGAAAAAGAAAATTTTTTAAAAAATATATACATGTACTTTTTATTTGGATAATTAAATTTAATAAAGGAAAAAAAAAGAATTTTAATAATTATTATTTGGATAAATAGTGGAAAAAAATGACATATTATAATAATTTTTTCAATTATAATATTTCATTGATTATGATTTTAGACTATCTTTGGATATAATAGTCTTTTATAAAAATAAAATTTTTTCAACTTTTCTTTTTTTAATTTTTCCCTCAAATTAGAGTATTAAAAAAGTAAGGATTGCAAAAAAGAATAAAAAATTATTAAATTTTCATTTTTTTTTCTTTCAAATTAAAAGTTTATCTAATCAAAAAAATAAAGATTTTGTGTTTCCATTACTATATTTTATTTTCCTTTCCTTTTCTTCCCCTCCCCTTAATTCAAACATAGTATTAAAAAAAAAAACAATCAGATGTTGAAAATGAAGAAAATGTTATGGTGTGACTGTATTGTAAGTGGACCTCCCACCAAGACTTGGAATGAATTATATATATATATATATATATATATAAATGTTAGTAGTGGTGGATGGCATTCCATGACAATGACGATATTTAGTAGTTTTCACAAATTGAGGCTGCTGATATCTATTGTCTCAAAGAAAAATGAATTAATGGTAAAAAAACGGAAGTGTGATTAGGGAACAAGAATTTCTTGTATCTAAATGTATGCAGCTTATAAATTATACTCAAAATAACTACTTTCTACAAGCATCATGTGAGAATATTATGAGCATCTGTTGATATGTTATAGCATCCTAATGATTATAGAAAAGCAAGAATGAAATAAAAATAATACTATTAAGGGAGGAAGAGGACTGACACTTGAACAAGCCCAAATAATTAAAGATAAAAGCAACAGAAATTGTGGTCTGACACAACCCCCAATTCCACTTTTAAAATGCAATGGCATGGCTGCACCTTTCATCAGCAACATATTTGATCAACAGCAGGTCGTTGCTCAGCAATAATCACGTTTGCAAGTGTAGCAGTCATCTCTAATTGTCAACGTAATTGATTTCATCATTTGTTCTTGACGGTTTGTCCTTGTTACCGAATGCCAACCTAAAAGTTTTCATAGTAAAATTAATTCTGAAATTTTCTAGAACATGCTTGATCTGATAACTGAAAAACAAATACAGACTTTTTGCTAAGAATTGGATGGTTTGACATAATGAAGAAGTTCATGAGTTATCTACACAATTTAGCTTGATGTTCTGGCATATAAACAAGATATGGCAATTCTATTGCAATAGCTGCAAACCATTCATTCACTCATTAAATTTCTGGCAGGTAGGTAAAGGGAAATAGTTGGATAAAATCAGAGAAATAAATCAAATGAAGCACACTCACTATTCATGAAATGCAAGATTTTTAGTGCACCACAAGTGTCACGTGTGCATGTTTTCGTCCGACATAATGATAGCAGCATCAGCAATTGCATTACTCAAATATGCATCAACTCAAGGTTTTGAGGAATTTGCTCAACAGCTATGAGTGCAATGCCACTACCTCCAAGACTCTCGAACAAGTGAAAAGGAAAGGAAGAAGTATTGTTATTCAACTGGCAGAGCAATGCTAAAACTGTGATTCAAATAATCAAGCAAAAATCCAGCATCACAGTTCAAAATTCATTGAATATGCTTATGGTAGACAGGTTTAGAAACCAAGTTTTTCTGGTACATAATAGATTGATAGAAATGTTCATTTCCTAACTAATATGACTGAGGGCCCGTTAGGCAGGCTTCAGCGTTATGCGGTTGGTCTGATTTTGGTCCAATCCCAGCCAAGCCTGCAACCTCAATTGGGCTAGCCAGGCCGCATGGCTTGCTTGGACCAGGCTCTAATGAACTAGACCCCCAGTTGCTGCCCCAAAAGTGCCATTATTGGACAAGTCCAATGAGCCCAATGCACTGGATTTGTTTTCACTGTACACTTCCATTTATGCCATCGATTTTTCTTTCTATTTTTCATTTTCACCCTTCAAATTTCAATCTTCCCATTTTGTGTACGCTTTTCGTTATTTTTCCTTAATTTTTATACTTGACAAATAAATATGTAATAATTATAATAAAAACTTTGGTATATGAGGTCATTATTACTTTATCATTTCGAAAAAAAAATATTTTTACTAATTAATATATCAAGAATTATAAATCTCTATATCAAATTATTAATTTATTATTATAATTATTTTAATTTCATCATAGTCAATTTTACTTTACGTCGAGTGAATTGAACCCTTAGCTTCACCCGTCACATTCCCTTCGCTTTATTATTTTTTTTTTTGTATACTATTTATCCTTCATGAATGATGATGTACCTTATTGATCTATTTTAAACATTGTATTTATAAATAACATGGCTTGTAATAAAATTGGCAGGTAGAATCTTTAAAATTTTAAACTTTGCATTTATGTTTTTTTCCACATCACAAACAACAAAAGATAGGAAATAAACTATATGCTCAAATAATATTAGAAACTAGAGATCACAATTGGATAACACAAGTCATTTTAATTCAAGTTGAAAGAAATTTAAATAATTTTGGATTGAATCATTTTCAGTTTGAATTAATTTGAGTTTAAATTATTCATTTTTTTATTTAGGATATTTTTTATTTGAGTCATTTAAATTTAATAATTAAATTAATTGAGTTTAAATCATTTTACATTTCCATAGTTAATTTTAAATTTAAATCAAATTTAAAATAAATTATTTAAAATAAATCAAATTTTATCAATCGAAATTATTTATTTAAAATCATGTTTTCATCAACTTGGGTTATATTCAATTTTTGATGTCATAAAAATAAAATTTTCAAACAATCATTGCATCTTACAAAAAGACAAAAAAATTAAATTAAATTAAATTAAAAAAATAAATTTAAAAGTCATTTACTAATTTAGAATTATTATGTACAAAAAATTAAAATTTTAATTTCGAAAAATTGATATTCAATTTTCATTTTCATTGCATTAATTATTATTAGTAATTCAATTTCTGAAAATTTCAAACCTAAATCCATGTGTTCTTTTTTTCATGTTAAAAGGACACTAGTAAACTTGCTCATGAGTTAGCAAAGCTAGAACGTCAGGTTGGGGTCAAAAAGTCTGATAGAAATTACTCACGGACTTTCTTTATAATCCTTTATCATTAATGAATTTGTAATTATTAGTCAATCACAAGTTTGAAAGTTAGAAATTATGTTATTGCTATAGTGAATGAGCATTGTAAAATAGGCAATAGCAGCGGTGCTATTACGTTGCCAAGTACGATGGAAGAAAGTGGTTCTCAGCCTAACATTGTTTTGCAATACACAGCACCATCCTCAACGGTCTTTGTAAGGACAAACGTCCTTGTAACTGAGGCTTAATTTGAACCTCTTCCGGAAATGACATGTAAAGGCAAGATGGATGAGGCAAGAAAATTAAGTTCGTGATTTGATGATTGCTAGGGGTTGTGCAGCTACACCACCATGGTCAATGGATATTGTAAATGTAAAAAAGGATAGATAAGGCAGTGGAACTCTTTTCATGAAATGTCTCAAAAGCAGCAATCAAATCAATACCATTTTAGCAATTCTTTTCTGCTCTTTCAAACTTGGGTTGAAATCTTTATTCTCTACTAGCTATAATAGGATAGATCGAAAAAGCATGTTAATCCCTCCATAAAAACATCATCCCTAATGAAATTTCCCTCACTAAAAATCTATTTCCACCTTCCAACAACTTGTCACTCTCAACCGCTTCAGCAGAAATCATAGCCTCTTCTGTCTGCCTGGTTGCCTCACAAAGAGAAGTTTCTTCTGCACTTGCCTGGTAGGCATCGCCAGCAATATATTCACCATGGCATTCATTAGATTATTATTTTTTATTCTTCTACTCCGACATTTGGTTTAGGTATTCGGCAATAGCGATTCAGCCTATCTTCATCATCTTCACCATTCTTTGCTCAAAGACAAGGCTGCTCTTCTAGCATTCAAGGAGTCCATATTAGTTGATCCAAATTCCAAACTTACAAACTGGGAAGAGGTTGTTCCTGTTTGCAACTTCACTGGTGTCACATGTAACAACATCACCGTGTGATACGAATCGACCTGTCTAGCTCTGGACTTGGGAAGATTTCACCCTTCCTTTCAAACCTCACTGGCCTTCTATTCCTAAACCTTCAAGGCAACCACTTTTTCGGCACCATTCCGCCTGAACTTTCCTCCCTCCAACGCCTCCAAATTCTCCGCCTAAATAGAAATAACTTAAGTGGTCCAATACCAGACAGTTTCGTCCTACTCACCAACCTCACTCTATATGAAGTTAGTGAAAACAAATTGACAGGTCCCCTGCCGCCTTCTTTTTTCTCGAACTGCACACAGTTACAAAATATAGACCTCTCTTTCAACTACATCAGAGGTCAAATTCCAGCAGAAATCGGAAATTGTCCAAATTTATGGACTGTCAATTTATTCAATAATCAACTTACAGGGCAACTTCCTACCTCCTTAACCAACATTACACTGTATAATCTAGATGTGAATTACAATCTTCTATCTGGTGAACTACTTACAGACATAGTACAGAAGCCGTCTTGTCTCGCCTTTCTTCATTTATCCTATAACAACATGACAAGTCATGATAATAACACCAATCTCTATCCATTCTTTGCTACATTGGGAAATTGTACTTATTTAACGGACCTTGAATTGGCTGGAATGGGCCTTGGCGGAACATTACCCAGCACCATTGGCCATCCTAGACTAAAGTGTCTAGAATTGCAAGAAAATCACATCTTTGGTTCGATTCCTCCAGAAATAGGAAATCTTTCAAATATTACAGTGCCGAACTTAGCATCCAATTTTCTAAATGGAACAATCCCGGAAGAGGTCAGTCTTTTGTTAAATTTGGAGCAGCTTCTTTTGTCCCACAACTTTTTCAGCTTCAGAATTCCTGTAGCATTAGGGAAGCTCCCTCATCTTGGTCAGCTAGATCTATCAAACAACAAATTCTCTGGAGAAATTCCATCCAACCTAGGAGATTTAGATGCACTTCTATATTTGTTTCTCAATAACAACCTCCTTTCAGGGACAATACCACCAAAACTACTCAAATGCATAAATCTTTACATGCCTGATCTGTCCCACAATAGATTAACAGGGAGGGTACCTCCAGAGATAGCAGAACTACATGAAATGAGACGATTTATAAATTTTTCACACAATCTTCTTGAAGGCCCTTTGCCAATTGCACTCAACAAACTCGAAAATGTTCAAGAAGTGGATCTTTCATCAAACAACCTTGGTGGGAATATCTTTTGTAACACCCACAATCCCACATCGGAAGGATGTGTGGATAACGAATGATATATATGTAGAGACTTAATTCTAATCTATGAGGCGTCTTTGGTGAGACAAAACCGTGAGACCTTCGGGTCAAAGCGGATAATACCTCACCGGTTGGGTGCGAGTCTCCACAAATAGTATCAGAGCCAGGTTTAAGATCTAAGAAAAGAAAGAACTGAGTTATAGTTAGTGTCGAACTTAAGTATTCTTAGCATTTATACTAATAAGATTCGATTATTTTATTTTGATCGCTTATGAACTATTTTGTTGGTAATAATTTAGGTAAGAATGAGTGGTAGAAATGAAACATTGGCAGACCTTATTGGTCGAAGGAAAAGAACTGACAGGAGAAGGGATGAATCTGAAACCATCAATGTTCGAGATGAGCAAATTGATATTGGAAATGCTCATAATGCTCTGGTGATACAGGATGATTTAGCTGGAGTGTATCAGGTGGTGTCTAATTTGATACCCCAACAGCAGTAGACATAAGAGAATCTACAACAACGTGAGACAACTTATGAATGATTTCGAAGGGTTAATCCACCTTAGTTTGAAGGCGGCCCCAATCCTTTGGTTGTAGAAACTTGGGTTAAAGAGTTGGAAAAACTCTTTAAAGTGATGCGAATCTTTGAAAATTTGAAATTGAGCTTGGCAGTCATTCAACTAAAGGAAATGCTGAGTACTAGTGGGATACTATAAATCCCACACTTGAAGATTCAAGTGAGCCTCTGACTTGGGAAAAGTTTAAAGAAATTTTATTTGATCAATATTTTCCAGAGTCCATGAAAGTGGAAAACGATAATGAGTTTTTGCAGTTGCAACAAAAGCATGATATGTCTATGCTGGAGTATGCCAACAAGTTTAATGAGCTGGGACATTTTTGTTCTCGCATCATTGACTCAGATAAGAATAAGGCGATACGATTCGAGCATAGGTTGAAGCCAAGTATTTGATCTCATTTGTCTTCTCATATAATTGATAGTTACAAATATGTGTTACAGTGAGCACTGAAGATTGGGTCAGACATGAAAAGATATGAGCAAAATAGAGGTGATAAGAATGCCCTAGGTTTGAGGAGATTAGAGTAATCGCCAAAAAAATGTCAAAGGAAACATGGGTAAGAAATGGGGGATGAAATCTGGTACTAAGCTCGAGAAATGTGATTTTTTTAAGCAATTTCATTCTGGACCATGTCTTAAGAAAGAAGAAGTTTGCTTTGAATGTAAAAAATATGGGCATACTGCTCGAAACTGCCCAAATAAGAAGAATGATGCTGTTAAAGCTAAATTAACGGAACAACCACAAAAGAGAAATGCTCGAGTTTTCACTTTGACTCACCAGGATGCTAATGCAAGTGACAATGTGGTGATAGGTATTGTTCTTATTAATCATGTCCATGCTAATGTTCTGTTTGATTCCAGTACCTCTCATAGCTTTGTCTTTGACAAGTTTGCTTCATCTTTGAGTATTGAACCTGAGAAATTGAATGAGCCTTTATATGTTGCTACTCTTATGAGAAAAATTATGTGTGCTGATACTGTCTATAAAAATTATATTGTACATATAGGGGGTTGTGAACTACTAGCAGACTTGGTGCAGTTAAGATGTTAGAATTTGATGTGATCTTAAGGATGAATTGGTTATCTGTACATCATGTATTTATTGATTGCTACAGAAAGAGAGTAGTGCTTCAATGTCCAGGATAATCAGAACTTGTATATGAAGGTCATCATTTGAACCCTCCGTGTCGGATTGTGTCAATCTCAAGTGCCATTCAATCTTTAAAGAAAGGGTGTCTAGGCTACCTCGCCTATGTGAAAAACACTCAAATGAATGTAAGCTCGTAATTAGAAGATATACCGATTGTTAGAGATTTTCTGATGTCTTTCCTGAGAACTTGCCTGGCCTACCTCATAATCGAGAAATTAAATTTGAAATTAATCTTATCCTTGGAATTAGACCAATATCTAAGCCTCCTTATCGCATGGCTCCATCTGAGTTACGTGAATTAAAGGTATAACTCCAAGAACTATTAAATAAAAAGTTCATTCGTCCTAGTATGTCACCTTGGGGAGATCCCGTATTGTTTGTTAAAAAGAAAGATGGGAGTTTACGCTTATGCATTGATTATAAGGAGTTAAATAAAGTGACTGTGAAGAACAAATATCTTTTTCCTCAAATTGATAACTTGTTTGATCAGTTACAAAGAGCAAAAGTCTTTTCAAAGATTGATTAATGATCTGGATATCATCAGTTGAAGATTAAGGCAGGTGATGTACCCAAAATTGTTTTTCGAACTAGGTATGGCTATTATGAATTCTTGATTATGCCTTTTGGATTAATAAATGCACCTGCTGCATTCATAAACTTGATGAATAAAATTTTTAAATAGTATCTGGATCAATTTATTGTTGTTTTTATTGATGATATTCTGGTTTATTCTAAGAGTGGTAAGGAATATAAGAAACATTTGAGGATTGTATTATAGATCTTACGGGATAAACAACTCTTTACAAAGTTTAGCAAATGTGAATTTTGGTTGACAAGTGTTACTTTTCTTGGCCATGTTGTTTCTGAAGATGGGATTTCAGTTGATCCGAAAAAGATTGAGGCAATGGTGAATTGGCCTCGCCCAACAAATGTGACGGAAGTAAGAAGTTTTATAGGCTTGGCAGGTTATTATAAAAGATTTGTTGAGGGGTTTTTTCAAATTACTGTGCCATTGACTTGTTTAACTCAAAAGTGAGTAAAATTTAAATGGACTAAAAAATGTGAACAGAGTTTTCAAGAGCTAAAACAACGATTGGTGTCAGCACCTGTCCTTACCTTACCTTTTAATATTGGTAGTTTTACCATTTATAGTGATGCTTTCAAGAAGAGGTTGGGTTATGTGTTAATGCAAAATGATAGGGTAATTGCTTATGCTTCTAAGCAATTAAAACCTTATGAACAGAATTATCTGACTCATGATTTAGAGTTGGTCGTGATTGTGTTTGCTTTAAAAATATGAAAGCATTATTTGTATGAGGAGTCTTGTGCAATTTATATAGACCATAAGAGTTTAAAGTATCTATTCACGTAAAAAGAGTTAAACATGAGACAAAGAAGATGGTTAAAACTAATCAAAGATTATAATTTGACTATCAATTATCATCCAGGCAAAGCCAATGTAATCACTGATGCTCTTAGTAAAAAGTTCATTAGGAGTATAGCTGCTTTGATTACTTCACAACCAAAATTGTTAGAAGAACTAGATACTCAATAAATTAAAGTGATTATACAGGGAAAGGGTGTTGTTATGGCTAGTTTGGTGGTTCAACCAACTTTGATCAAAAAGATAAAATTGGCACACAAAAAAAATAATAAGTTAGATAGAATCAAAAAAAGATGTGCAAAATGGTTTGCAGCCAGAGTTTAAGCTTCACGAAGATGGTACATTATGTTTTAAAAATAGATTGTGTGTACCAAATGATCTTGAACTAAAACAAAAGATCTTGGAGGAAACACATAGGTATCGATTCACTATACATTCTTGAAGCACTAAGATGTATAAAGATTTGAAAGGAGGTTTTTGGTGCAATAACATGAAACGTGACATAGCTTAGTTTGTGTCCTAATGTCTAGTGTGTCAGCAAGTTAAAACTGAATACCAAAGACCATCAAGGTTGTTGTAACCTTTAGAGATATCGAAATGAAAGTGGAGCACATCTCTATAAATTTCATAATGGGATTACCTAGGTCATCTAAAGGGAATAATGCAGTGTGGATAGTTATTGATAGACTAACTAAATCAGCCCATTTTTTACCTATCAAGTCGACTACTCCACTTAATAAACTAGCATAATTGTACATGGATGAAATTATCCGATTGCATAGAGTTTCAATGAGTATTGTGTCAGATAGGGATACTAGATTTGTCTCTAAATTTTAGGTAAGCGTGCAGCAAGCTATGGGGATAAATTTGAAATTGAGTACAGCCTTTCACCCTCAAACGGATGGATAAATGAAGAGAACGAATCAGATTATGAAAGATATGCTTCAAGCATGTGTGATTGATTTAAAAAGTAGTTTGGATGATTACTTACCTTTAGCAGAGCTCGCTTATAATAATAGTTATCAATCCAGCATTGGGATGGCTCTTTTCGAAGCCTTGTATGGTAGAAAATGTATATCCCTTTTACATTAGGATGATGTTGGGGAGAGAAAACTTTTAAGGCCGAAAATAGTGCAACTGACTATAAAAAAGATTAAGGTGATTAAGAAAAAACTTAAAGCAACACAAGATCGTCAAAAGAGTTAGGCAGATAAAAAGAAAAGGAGTTGAAATTTCAACAAAGGAATTTTGTCTTTTTAAAAGTGTCACCCACAAAAGGTGTTATGCGATTTGGGAAACGAGGAAAGTTAAGGCAACATTATATAGGTCCGTTTGAAATTCTTGATAAAGTGGGAGAAGTTGCATATAGGATACCATTGGCACCTTAGCTATCTAGTGTGCACAATGTTTCTCATGTATCCATGTTGAGAAAGTATGTCTTTGACCCAAGCCACGTGGTAGAGTATGAAGCTTTAGAAGTTCAAGAATATTTAACATACTTGGAACATCCTATTCGAATAATTGATCGGAAAGAGCAAGTTTTAAGGCACAGAACTATTCTTTTTATAAAAGTTCAAAGGAATAATCATACACTAAAAGAAGCAACTTAGGAAATGAAAGATGATATGAAGAAATGGCATCCTCAGTTATTCAAACATGAAGGTAAATCAAGTTTTGATGACGAAACTTTTTATAAGTTGGGAAAAATGTAATACCTATTAAAAAAATGAAGGGGCTATTTTTAAGTTTTTTTTTTTTTAAGTGGGGGGACTCCTTAGTAAAGACTGAGAAATGCAGAGGACCTATTGATAAATAACTCAATTTTCATTATAAGGTTAACTTATTCAGTTTTCAGTCAACGACTAACAAAAAAAAAAATGCAAACTTATTTTTCCCTCTATTTCTTATACAAAAAAGATAAATTGAAGGATTTTAAGTGAATGGAAAGAACAAATCTATAAGGAAAATTATCTGTTAGAGGTGAGTAAATAATCTTTTTTAATTTTAGAGTATTGATTATTAAGTCTTAAGGTATAATTTATCATCGAAAAATCCTAAAATTTTAGGGTTTCCATTATCCTTCTTCAGGCAGATAATTTAGGCTTTAATTAGGGTCAAATTAAGTGTTGAGAAAGTTGGTAATGTGAATTTATTGCTAAAACAAAATTTTGATGGGAATAGAAAGGAAATTTTTTGTTTTGTATGAATCTTAATATGAACCCTGTGTTTGCAATGATAGATTAAGATTATATTCTGTATTAAAGAGTTAAATACTACTATGATTATTCTATATCGTTGGAAAACATGTTGAATTTACTTTTTAATGAAACAAACGGGAGTCGAATTCGAGTTTTCTATGAAGAGTTATCCAATTTTTTTCCTAAGAATGTGTAGGCTACCTAGTAGCAGCAGTAGGGAGGTATTTCAAAATTCTCTTTAATTTTTATACAAGGATTTACAGATTAAGCCATATATGTTTAGAAAGCTTATTGAGTCTACTTTCCAATGAATCAGTATAATTGAATTTGGAGTTTCTTATGAATAAATACATAATTTTTAGGAGAAGGTATACAAGCTATCTAGCAGCAGCATATGACGTAGATTTCAAAAATTGTTATAATTAATCTACAAGGAATCACGAGATGAACCATATATGGTTAGAAATCTTGTCGAGTTTAGTTTCTAACGCATTAAAAAGATTTTAATTCCAAATTGGATATCTTGAGATATAGTCATTTAAGTAAAAGTAGTGTAGGTTGCCAAAATTAGTTACTTGAGTTATTTCTTGTTTAGCTTAATTGTTTTGGTATAAGCGGTCTCAAATGGGTTGATTAATAACTGTTATGTTGAAATTTTCTTGAATAGGCCATTAATTATTGAGGGAGAAAAACTAAGTGGTAGAATCGAAAGAAGATAAGTAAAATCTCACACACTTTGCTTATTTTCGAATCTATGTATATATGTATATTTTTAAATAAATGAATGCTTGATTTCATTATTTTCGATGTATGAATAGGATCAAACATATGATTATTTTGTGTTTTTGCTATATAAATGATGGATCATGCATGTGAATGAAATGAGAAAGTGATTTTTGTTTAAAGAACGGTTTTATGATAGCTATGTTTTTATATCCCTGAGAGGTGGGATCATCGATACCAGAACTAGTTCTACGGTCCTGATTAATGGGTTAAAGTAGTTAGCAAAAATATGATCATACAACCCTGCTAACGGATTATAGTAGTTAGCGTAAGGTCCTGGCTAGCGGGTTATAATAGTTAGCAATGATTATGAGAATGAAATTGTCGATATAACCAATGTCACGGATTATAGCAGTGACCATAGCTAACAATAAATGAATGATAATGATGATTTATAACAATGATGATTTGTGATGAATGATTTTTATAAATTGATCCATGATTTGGTGACATGTTTTGATTCTAATTTATGATCTATGAATGCTTAATAGATTGTTGAGTTTTGAATTATTTTTTACATTATGAGTTGATAAATGTTTGTGAGAATGATCTATATATAACATATGAAAATGATGTTTGATCCAGTAAGTGTGTGAGCCTTTACTTACTGAGCTAGTAGTTTGTTTATTCCCTATTTTCTTTTCTTTTATAGATGTTATGAATAATAAGTATGATTAGTCTTGAGAGGATCTAGAAGAATCGAGTATTGGAAAACTACTTAAAAATTAGGATTTTATGAAGTATTATTTTCTTTTAGTTGTAATATTCGACTTTGAACCTTTGAAAACTTGTTATTTAGTTATTTTACTTAATGAGAACCTTATTATATTTGAGAGTTGTTCAATGGTTATGGATTAGGCTTCATATTGCTTTGGGGTTTTACTTCAAGGTAATATGGTCGTGTTGCGTCTTGGTCTCGGATGTGACATAAAATAATATCAGAGCAATCATCGTCGGTAGCCATGAGAGTCACTAAGTGCTACACGATGGGACCGTGGGAGTCACTAAGTGCTGCACGGTGGTCTGGTGTGATCTTGGTCCTGTGGATGGACTCGGCTTGACAGGGATGTCAAGCATTAAAGGTGAAGAGATTGTAATGCCCCACAATTCCACATCGGAAGGATGTGTGGATAAAGAATAATAAATTTATAGAGACTTAATCCTAAACTTGTGAGACACCTTTTGTAGGACAAAATTGTAAGACCTTTGGGTCAAATCGGATAATACCTAGCAGATTGGGTCCGGGTTCCACAAATAGTATCATAGCGATCACCAATTGACGGTTGTGAGAGTTACTAAGTGCTATACGGTGGGACCGTGAGAGTCTCTAAGTGCTACACGGTGGTTTGGTGTAATCTTGGTCCTGTTGATAGATTCGGCTTGACAGGGACATCAAGAATTAAAGGTGGGGAGATTGTAACGCCTTCAATCCCACATAAAAAGAATGTATGGATAAAGAATGATATATACGTCAAGATTTAATCCCAAATCTGTGAGGCGCTCTAAGTGATACGAGGAACCTCCAATCATTTGATGTTTCAAGCAACAATATAGCTGGAAAGATACCAAAGAGCCTGAGCAATTCCTTTAACAACTTTGAAGGAATGATTCCCTCTGGTGGCATATTCAATTCTGCCACAAATATGTCATTCTTAGGCAATCCGCGTCTACGTGGAGCAGCTTCTAGGAGGCCGATATGCCCTCAAAAGAAACACTGGTTTCGATCACCTATGTTATTGATTATTCTTATCATAGTCATACTTGTTTCAGTGCTCTTATCAGCCCTAGGCTGTGTGATTTTAATCTGCCGCATTAAACTAAAGGTTTCTTCCAGGAAAACTGAAAGATCAAGAAAACCTCCAACACCAGAAATAAGGCACAATTTCCCCAGAATCACTTGCAAGGAACTGTCAGAAGCCACTAGAGGATTTTATGACCATAACCTAATTGGGACAGGTAGCTATGGACGTGTTTACAGAGGAGTTCTTCAAGATGGGACAAGCATTGCTGTAAAGGTGTTACATTTGCAGTCTGAAAATTCAACCAAAAGTTACAACAGAGAATGCCAAGTTCTGAAGAGCGTTAGACACCGAAACCTTATCCGAATTATAGCAGTGCGTAGTTTACCCGATTTCAAGGCTTTGGTTCTTCCTTATATGGCAAATGGAAGCTTTGATAGCCGTCTCTATCCGCATTCTGAGTCAGGTTTGAGTTCAGGATCTTCAGATTTGAGTCTAACTCAGAAAGTTAGCATTTGCAGTGACATTGCTGAAGGGATGGCCTATCTGCATCACCATTCCCCGGTTAGAGTCATACACTGTGATCTAAACCGGAGCAATATTCTTCTAAATGATGATATGACAGCATTGGTTTCGGACTTTGGGATTGCAAGGCTAGTTATGGCAGTAGGAGCTGGCAATGGAAGTGGGGCTACTGAAAACATGGGAAATTCTACTCCAAATATGTTAGCCGGATCCATTGGTTACATTGCACCAGGTAATCCTCCTTTGTGTCTCTAGTGCATCATCATCTGTATTCTCTGACATTAACAACTTTAAGTCATTTTCAGTAATGTAAACAAATTGTATTTTTATCCCAAATCTTCAAATCATTTCATCAAAAAACTACAACAAAAACATCAAAATGGCACACTTATCAGATGCGTATGCCTTGCTAAGCCTTGATTCATGCCAAATTATCAGTTTTACACATGATTCGCTTATCAGTGTCATTATTGTAGATATTGGACTTTCATTCTGTATTTTTACGCAGAAAAACTATTCAGTCTTTTCAGGGAGGTTTGCTTCTTTTTTCTTTAATGATGCCTTAAATTCAAAACAATACATATTAATTCAGTCAACTTTATGCTGCAGAGTATGGATTGGGATCTAACACATCTATCAAGGGAGATGCATACAGCTTTGGAGTTGTAGTTCTTGAGACGGTGAGTAGAAAACGACCAACTGATGACATATTTGTTGGTGGTTTAAGCCTGCACAGATGGGTGAAGAGACACCACTTTGGAAGGGTAGAAAAAGTGGTTGACTCATCTATGATCAGAGCTTTAAGGGATCAATCCCCGAAAGTGAAAAGAATGTGGGAAGTTGCAATTGGAGAATTGATTGAATTAGGTATTCTGTGCACGCAGGAAACTCCCTCTACTAGGCCCACCATGCTTGATGCTGCTGATGACCTGGATCGCCTTAAAAGATACCTTAGCGGGGATACTGCTATGATATTCGCCTCTCCTCTGCGAATATCTTCTTCCACTCTCGGTGATGACTAACAGCTTCTCAAATTGTACATGGACTGAATTTACTCTTAGCCTTTTGGAAAGTTTGACTTAGAATCTGTGCATCCCAACCTAAGATTACTAAGATAAGTCATAATTATATAAGTAAAAATATAAATCTAAATTTATAAAAAAAATCATGAGATTTTTGAATCAATGTAGATAATATTTTATAAATAGAATGTGAATTTTCACAAATAATATCAAAACAATTACCAATCAAATGAGAACTAAGTATTATATAATAGGAGCTTCTTCTAAAATCCCGATAGAGCTAAGTACTAAAAGATTTAAGTCATCTCTAAAATTTTAATTTCTGGTGTAATCTGATTTTGTGATTATGTGTATTTGATTTTGGTTCTATGATTCTATGTATATGATTCTATAGTTTTGTCTATTTTTTATGTTGGCATAATTTTGTCTCTATAAGATTTGTGACATCCAAATTTTATAATGAGAAATTCTGAAAATTTTTATGATATATAAATAGAAATTTAAAATTAAACTTTTGAGGAGCTTTTTGTAAAAAAAAAAAAAAAATTATAAAATTTTTGAATTAAAATAAATAATAAATATAGATTTACAGAATCAATTAGAAAAGGGAGTAAAGATGCTTTTGAGAATCATATAAGATAACTATAACACTAACTATAGGTTTTCTACATTTCTAATAAGGATATTTGTTCATCATTGGCCCTGTTAATACATTATTTGACAGCTTCTTTATTTTGCTACATAAGATAGTGCAGAAATTGAAAAAAAAAAAAGATGGAAAAAAAAGGGAAAAACAAACTTGTGAGTTGCTTAATATTTGAGTCAAGTAACCATACATCACAGGCTATGGAAAATGAGAAACTCCGCTATCCCTATGACCTTTTTTTTGTAAAAAAAACAAAAAAAAACAAACATAAAAACCTCTGGAACTGTTTTCAAAGACAAGGAAAGTTCAAACCAATCCAGGCAGAGGCTTCCTTACTTTTCAAGTATAGAAGGCATGAGGAAGCTACTTAGGTACATTCAATCAGACTTGAACTGATACCAGAAGGATATATTCACGTTTGGTTTCACATATTAACTACATTTACTATCCATATCAATCAGAAAAAATTCAAAAATAGCCACAGAGATAGAACGAAACACAAGATGATTGATCCATTACCCTCTCTCCTATGATATTCCTTTTCTTAAAAAAATCAGACGTTGAAAATGAAGAAAATGTTATGATGTGACTATATTGTAAGTGGACCTCCCACCAAGGCTTGGAATGAATTATATATATAATATGGATTGTAAACGTTTGTAGTGGTGGATGACATTCCATGACAATAACCATATTTAGTGTTTTCACAAATTGAGGCTGCTGATATCTATTGTCTCAAAGAAAAATGAATTAATGGTAAAAAAAAAAAAGAAAGCGTGATAAAGGGAACGTGATTTTCTTGTGTCTAAATGTATGCAGCTTATAAATTATTCTCAAAATAACTACTTTCAACAAGCATCAAGTGAGAATATTATGAGCATCTGTTGATACTTCTTCCCATGTTATAGCATCCTAAGGATTATAGAAAAGCAAAAATGAAATAAAAATAATACTAGTAAGGCAGGAAGAGGACTGACACTTGAACAAGCCCAAATAATTAATGATAAAAGCAACAGAAATTGTGGTCTGGCACAGCCCCAATTCCACTTTTAAAATGCAATGGCATGGCTGCACCTTTCATCAGCAACATATCTGATCAACAGCAGGTCGTTGCTAAGAAATAATAACGTTGGCAAGTATAGAAGTTATTGTTGTGGGTAGTTTACAACGTGACCTATCTCATATTAAATAAAAGATTATTTGTATATAGTTTAAATAATTATTTATATTATTTAAGTAATTAAATTAAATGTTAGAGTGAACAAAATTATTTGAACTTGTTAAAAAATTTTTTAGCGGGTCAAATAAATTTTAAAGTAAAAAATTAGACACTTTGACTTATTTGACAAATAAATATATTTTTTATTTAAATTTTTTGCTTTTTAAAATTTGAAAATTAATAAAATATTATTTTATTTAAAAGTAAAAATTTGTATAATTGGACTAGTTTGATAAATAAATTTATTTTTATTTAAATCTTTTGCTTTTTTAAAATTAAAAAATAAATAAAATTTTATTTTATTTTAAATAAGCATGCTTAAATAAAAAAAATTGATTGTCTAAATAAATATGTTTGAGTAGAAAAATTTATATGTCCAAATAAATTTATTTAAATAAAAAAATGATGACACAAATTATCATAATTTTTTAAATAAAAATTTTGTGGCCATTGATTTATTATAAATAAATATTTTTACTTCATCAATTTCATTAATTCTGATTTGACAAATCTATTACAAGAGCTACAAACTATTCATTCACTCATGAAATTTCAGCAAGGTAAGTAAAGGGAAAGAGTTGGATTAAATCAGGAAAACAAATCGTATGAAGCACACAAACCACTCATGAAATGCAAGATTTTTAGTGCACCACAAGGGTCACGTGTGTATGTTTTCTCCGACATTATGATAGCAGCATCAGCAATTGCATTACTCGGGCATGCATCATCAACTCAAGGTTTTGACGAATTTGCTCGACAGCTCTGAGTGCACTGCCACTGCCACCAAGACTCTCGAACAAGTGAAAAAGAGAGGAAGAAGTAATGTTATTCAACTGGCAGAGCAATGTCAAAACTCTGAATCAAATAATCAAGCAAAAATCTAGCATCCCACTTCAAAATTCATTGAATACGCTTATGCTAAACAGGTTTAGAAACCAAGTTTTTCTGACACATAATAGATTGATAGAAATGTTCATTTTCTAACTAATATGACCGAGGGCCCGTTCGCCAGCCTTCGGCATAGTGTGGTTGGTCTCATTTTGTCCAATCCCAACAAGCCAGAAGCCTGCATTGGGCTACTCAGGCCCTCACGGCTTAGTTAGACCAGGCCCTACTGCTCTAGACCTCTAGTGGCTGCCCCAAAAGTGCCATTACTGGAAAAGTCCAATGAGCCCAACATGCTGGATTTGCATTCACTGTACTTTTCCATTTATGCCATTGCTTTTTATTTCTATTTTTCATTTTCACCCTTCAAATTTCAATCTTCCCATTTTGTCTACGCTTTTAGTTATTTTTCCTTAATTTTTTATACTTGACAAATAAATATAATTATAATAAAAATTTTGGTATATAAGTTCCTTATTATTTTATCATTTCAAAAAAAAATTATTTTTACTAACTAATATATCAAAAATTATAAATCTCTATATCAAATTAATAATTTTATTATTATCATTATTTTTAATTTCATTATAAATAATTTTACTTTGCGTCTGAGTGAATTGAACCCATAGCTTCACCCGTCACATTCCCTTATGCCTTTTTGTATACCATTTATCCTCTATGAATGATGATGTACCATATTGATTTAAATTTACAGAGTGTATTTCTAAATAATATGGCTTGTAATAAAATTGGCAGGTAGAATCTTTAAAATTTTAAACTTTGTATTTATGAATTTTTTTCATATCAAAAATAGCAAAAAATAAAGACTAAAATGTATGCTCAAATAATATTAGAAACTAGAGGTCACAATTGGATAATACAAATAATTTTGATCCAAGTTGAAAAAATTTAAATAATTTTGGATCGAATCATTTTTAATTTGAATTAATTTAAATTTAAATCATTCAATTTTTATTTAGATTATTTTTTATTAGAGTCATTTGAATTTAACAATTACATTAATTGAATTTAAATCATTTCATATTCAAGTAGTTAGCTTTAAATTTAAATCTAATTTAGAAAAAAATCATTTAAACAAATCAAATTTTATCAATCAGAATTGTGTATTTGAAATCATGTTTTCATCAACTTGCGTTATACCTCCAATTTCAATTTTTGATGTCATAAAAATAAAATTTTCAAACAGTCATTTCATCTTACATAAAAGACAATATATATATATATATATGAATTTAAAAGTCATTTACTAATTTAGAATTATTTTGTGTAAAAAATTAACAATTTAGTTTCGAAAAATTGATATTCAATTTTCATTTTCATTGCATTAATTATTGTTAGTAATTCAATTTCTGAAAATTTCAAACCTAAATCCATATGTTCTTTTTTTCATGTTAAAAGGACACTAATAAATTTGCTCAATGAGTTAGCAAAGTTAGAACGTCAGGTTAGGGTCCAAAAGTCTGATAGTAATGATTCACAGACTCTCTTTCTAATTCTTTATCATTAATGAATTTGTTATTATTAGTCAATCATAAGTTTGAAAGTTAGAAATTATGTTATTGCTATAGTAAATGATCTTTGTAAAATAGGCAATAGAAGGTGCTATTAAGTTGACAAGGATGATGAAGAAAGCGGTTCTCAGCCAAACGTTGTTTTGTAACATACAGCACCATCGTTGACAGTGTTTGTAAGGACAACGTCCCTGTAACAGAGGCGTAATATGAACCGCTTTTCGGAAATGACATGTAAAGGCAAGATGGATGAAGCTAGAAAATTAAGTTCATTTTTTTTTTATTGCTAGGGGCTGTGCAGCTACGCCATCACGGTCAATGGATATTGTAAATGCCCAAAAGGATAGATAAGGCAGTGGAACTCTTTTCATGAAATGTCTCAAAAGCAATCAAATAAATACAATTTTAGCAACTCTTTTCTGGCCTTTCACACTTGGGTTGAAAATCCACTCAAGGCTGCAATCTCTATTCTCTACTAGCTATAATAGGATAGATTGAAAAAGCATGCTAGTCCCTCTATAAAAACATTGTCCCCAATGAAATTTCCCTCACCAAAAATCTATTTCCACCTTCACTTAGAACAACTTTCACTCTCAACCGCTTCAGGAGAAATCATAGCCCCTTCTGGACGCCTTGGTTGCCTCACAAAGGGAAGTTTCTTCTGCACTTGCCTGGGAGGCGTAGCCATCATTATATTCACCATGGCATTC